TAATGATAATATATGCATTTGGAATGGTTGGAACTTCCGTATATTTTGACAAACCTTCCATATATTAACTTCTTTGTACTTTTCTTTTTCTTGATTCTAACCGCATTCTCATTTATTCTTGATCACCATCTTTACCGAATGAATATTGGTCTCAAGTATACTTCTGGCTTTCTCTATCTTACAACCTTCGTTGCTTTGTATATTTTGACAGATTTCAGAGAGCTGGAGTTACCCTCCACTCAATGAAACCGCAGAAGCAGCCAGTCGAGTGCATAAAGCACTTGCGGAGCGTGGATGGAGATTGCGACCATAGCAAGTGAGTTGATAACCATTGTTACTTGTAGACACACTCAAATGTTATGTTGAAAGACACACCCATTGAAAGTTAAGCTTTATGTGATAGCACTTATAGGAATGACAGCTAAAGGCTGTTGTAGCTCTTATCTTTGATTCTTCCCCTTCCGGGGGTCTTGAGATAGAATAAAGGCTTTCTGTAATTCTGCGGCTTGTAAATTACGAAGAGGGGCGAGCGTTTCTTTAGTCTAAAGGTGGGATGGTTCTTGTTCGAAAAATAATTCATTTGTAATTTAAAGTGATTTTCTAGATTCTGTTTGACATTATCGAATTGTCCTTCGTAAACCAGTGTTCATTTAAGTCTTTCGAGATTGGACTTCGATTTGGCACAGTGACGGTCTGTTTGCTTCACCCATCACACCCAAGATTGAAAACGAACCAAATCAATCAAATTGATCTGGTTCGTTTAAGTTATGTTCAATCAATTTCATTCGGTTTGTCCAGCTTCGCTCCCCAATCCATCAACGATGTTAAACAGAAAGAGTGGATGACGGGTTGGAGGTGCGGATGACAGGGCTGAGGCGTGGATGGAGGTTGCAACGTCGCGAAGGAGATGAGGGATGTTGAGATTGTGATGGAGGAGAGTGAGATCGTGAGGGAGATGAGGACTCTAGGAAAGTAAAGGTCGTTCGTAAGGAGGAAGATAACCTTAGACGACATAATTTCCAATTGTTTCGTAACAAAAAGGAAGTAAAGAAGTAAGACAATGATTCCTTGGAGGGAATATACTAACATATATACTAGTAATTAAGTAGGGATCATACTCACAGCATGATCATAAATATCAAACTTAATGCTTTAGCTAGGTTTATCTACATAATTAAACAACTCCTGTTCCTCTATTCATCTCCCAATTAAAAACAACATTAAAACTAACACATTAATTAATCACTGCATATCCCTATATAAACCCCATCCCAGCATTCCTTTGATCATGAAAAACTAATTGACTCTAAAAACAGTGGTGAATCTGTAGCAATCAGTATCGATGAGAAGGCGAATTACGGTGCAGAAGGAAAAACTGCTGAAGTTGCTCCTCCTGCTGTGGTCACCACAAAAGCTACCAAAATCGGGAGGAGGATGGAGAAAGGGTTTGGCAATCATAGACTTTGTGCTGCGGCTCGGTGCCGGTTCAGCTGCTCCTGCTGCTGCTTACATTACGGGGAATACCGAACAGATTCTTCCTTTCTTCACGTAGTTATTCCAGTTCCATGCTCAGTATAATGATCTTCCAACTTTGACGTACGAAACATATATATACGCTTCGTTTAAATTCTGAAATTTTCTTTTGAGCAAACAAATTAGTTGATTAGGGTTTTGATGGATTCCTTGATATATATGGGCAGGGTTTTTGTGGCTGCGAATGCAGTAGCTGTGGGATACATTGCCCTCTCCTTGCCCTTCTCTATAATCTGCGGCCTCATGCAATAGGGCTAAGGCTACTGCTCGTTAAACTTGACACAGTAATATGACTAACAAATTCTACTATTCCATACTCACATGGCATACTGATGAGTCCCCTTTTTTATTTCTTTGTCGTGATTGACGAGAGCGTATTCGTTCAAATTGTCACACGTGTCAAATATTATTAGTATTTAAATTTTTTAAAATCTAAATCTAAGACTAATTTGTATACGCATGGTAATCTGAGTTGATTACACACTATATATACACTACATCAACATGTCACGTGATTCGTCCTTTTAAACCTAACTAATAATTTTTTTATCTATTAAAGAAATAATGCTCTAGAGATTATCAGTTACATGTATATGGGAAATCATAAGTAAACTCTTTGTCTCCTCACACACACGACACACCCATGTTGGATCGTATCCATTATATCGGTTTGATATCAACCGATTTCCATGAATAAAGAAGGATGTGTCGTGTATGAAAGACTAAAATGGATATGTGAAAATCAGCTACCATGATATATATCGTTACTCTATCGTTAAAGAGCTCCCCGTTTTCTATTTCCTTAATTATGTATATGTTGATCTATATATATTGACTTACTGAAAACATTTCCTTAAATGCTTTGCAGGTGATGGTTGCTCTAATCATAGCAGCAGATGGTGCTTCATCTGCAATTGTGTACTTGGCGCATAACGGGAACATGAACGCAAACTGGCTTGCTATTTGCAGGCAAGACAACGACTTCTGCCAGGCACTCAGTGGGGATCTTGTGGCTTCACTTGTCGCAGCAGTCTTTTTTGTGTTTCTGGTTGTGAATTCTACTTTTGCTCTTAAAAGAAAATGAGAAATTAAGGAGCTTAATTACTGTACAATGGTATTGTTAGGACTTGTAAATTTCAGACATGCATGTTGTCGATTGTGTATTATTATTAATTCCATTAACGGGTGAATGTAAACTGATATAAGTAATGAAAGATTTGTGTGGATTGGCTTCAAGACATATATGCTGCTAAAAGTAGTTTTTACTTTTTTGTTCGTTTGTTTTGTTTTTCTTTCTTTATTTCCCTTATTTTTTAGAATCTTTCATGCTAATTAACAACTCTGGTACTAAAGAATTCTAAAATCATTTTATATAATTTTCTAAAATTTGTGATGATTCTTGTTTGATTAACCTAATAAAATTTAAGTTTCGAACCCAGAGCATGTGACAGATAGCAATCTACTACAAACTTTACCTGCGTACGTGAATTGTTATCTTGCGGTGGTGGGGTGGTGGTGGCAACGATGGTTGTAAGGTGGGGGTTCCGACAATGTTGGTGGGATGGGATTGCTAACCATGGAAATATGGTGGTGGTGGTACTAGTAATGGTGTGTTGTGAACTTGTAATGGTGGTGGCGACAATGGTGGTGGTCATGAACAATGTGGCAGTGATGGTAGTCATGGCAGCAACGATAATAAGGGTAGGCATATGTAGTTGGGTTTTTTTAATTTAAACTCTTACACATGAATTTTAGAAAGAAAAATTATACAAGAATTCATTCAATTTTTTTTTATCACACGAAATTTATAAATCTATAATTAATAATAAATGCCCTTCTCTCAAGAAATGACCTTCGTTTCAAATTCGCTCTTATATATTTGAAAATCTTATTGATCTCTTCAAGAGTTCCAATTAATTTCATGTTATCATATACCACCATTGCAAACGCATAATTTAAATTTTCCTAGTCAAAATTTCATTAAGACAATTATACCACGTCCTAATTGATGGAGTACATGTTCTATGATTGCGTAGTTGTTTTCGGCGAATTTAGTCATTTTGGCACTTTCATATAGGTATTCGTATCTAATTCCGCATATAAGTGTGCAGTGACGATGTCCATAAGACGCATGTATAGTTTTTTTCTAAAACTACAATACTTAATACATATTAACTAACGAATGACAAGAGAATATTGTTGAAGGGCTTTCCTATCAACTGGTCAGACCACCACCTGGTATACTACTAAGGTTTCGTTGGATGATATTTTCCTTCCAAAAATTCCGCATATCAGAATGTGCGACGAACAAAATTACAAAATAATAAAAATGTTTTGAGTTGATTGTAAACGATGTTCGATGAATACTTTTGAGGCGAGCCTTGGAATCAGAATTTTCATCAACGATATTCTTAATGTCCACTCTAATGATAAAGTGAGGCGGCTCCGATAAAGTAACGGTATGTTCTTCGCTTGGTCATCTTGGCAACAAAAGCCTCTAAACCTAAAGTTTCTTGGTCTAATCTGGCGTGGTTCAATCAAAATGTTCCTAGCGAGGCCTTTGTTCTTTGGCTTGCTACTACGGATATAATTCATGTTTACAACTTCAACATTGATCAAAGGTGTCCTTTGTAGGGACGTGCCGGTGGGTTTCGGGGATGGGAGGCCATGCCGCTCTTGCTTTATTTCTTCTGATATTTTCTCTCTCTCCCTCTCGCTCTCTTCAAAATCCCACAACAATCTTTGGAGTTGGAGGCTTTTGCTCTGTTGGGTTTTTTTCCAATAACTCAAAGGCCGAAAGGTATTTCCATTTCATATTCTTCTCTCCCAATTTCTTTACACTATGTTTGGATGAAGAAATTTAAGATTACTAAGGAATTTTAAAATGACGAAAATTTAAATGATGGAATTTTATTCTATAGAATTTGTGAATTTTCTTGTTTGGGTAACCTAAAAGAACAATGGAATTGAATACGAAATTTGTTGTTTTTAAACTCTCAATCATAGAAATTGGAAAATGACACCTATTTACATGGAATTTAAACTTGGGAATTGGAGGTCCCAAATTTCAAGTTTTTTTTCCATATGGAAATTCTAAATTTCCATGTTTATGAATCCAAACAAGGGAATTGGTGCATGTCAATTTATAAATTCTGTCTTTAATCTAAATTCCAAGTTTATTTCCCTCATCCAAACATAGTGTTAGGGTTAATTTCAATTTTCTTATGCTATTTGCAGTGGTGCTTTTTAGGGTTTAACTATTTGATTTCACATATTCATTCTAGGCAAATTAAGATCTGATAGGATTTTAATAGACTTTGAAATCCACGTGTGGTCAATTAAAATTTTAAAAGAGAATTTTAAAAGATTTGAAATCATGATGTAGTTAAATTAGGATTTAAGAGAGTTTTAAAAATTCATTCAAATCCCGATGTAATCAATTATGATTTAAAAAAAATCCACACAAGTATAGGTGCAGTCAAAATCTCAAAGATTTAGTAGGATTTTATTAGGTGAAGGATTTTGATGGATTTGAAAGAGATGGTATAAATACCAAATGCCATCCAAAATCTGATCCTAACCCCTCTGATTTCTTTTCACGCCAGACGAAGATGAACAGGCCATTCCATCTATCTATCAAGCTATTGCCTTTTTCACCGATGCTCATATCAAGCAGAAGAAAGTGTCCGACGCCATTTGGCTTTTGATCTCTCTGCTCAGTACGACGCCATTCCCACTCCAGTCGAGTTGATTCTCTGAAATATCTCAGGTATGATTTTTCACCCAGACCTTGAAAATTTTCTTTTCATTTCTTCCAAACTTTGAATAATTTTTTTTCATGCGTTGTATGTTTCGAAAATGAACTTGTGGTTGTTGATTGAAATGGGAATCACAATTTATCTTTGTTTTGTGACAAGGCATTCCCAGTTCCGCTTTCCACTTTTGTGGGTACCATGCATATTTGGCCACCAAGTTGTTTGATTAAATGCCTCAAAGAAGTATATGGGAATCATATTAGGTGACTACTGCAACCTGCAAACGTGCTAATAAGAACACCTTCGAGTTAGGTCTTCTACAACCATTAGCAATTTTTTTCATGTCACTGCTTTCCTCGATTGAACTCCGCCGTGTAAGTTTATCTTACATTGCCGGTCCTAAGCCCGGATAAAGGAGGATGGGGAGGGCGTCAGGTAGTCGACAGCCGGCACTCCATGATCACGTCGAATCCTTATGAAAATGAATCCAGAACGAAATCGCGCTAAAGCTAGGGCGTCACCCGTAAGTGGCGCGCTGTGTGGCCTGAGCACAGTGATAAGTGAGCAAGGGTCGCTGTATCTCCATCGGCACCCGGATGCAGTGTTAAATGAGCAAGGGGGCTATAGAAACTTCTTTTCGAACGACTCCACTCAAAGTTGTTTGGGAGCATATGCTCCTATCAACTTTACACGGGACACACAAAAGAAGTACTTTGATCCTATTAGACGGGGAAGGGTGAAGAAGTTAGGACAGAAGGGTAGAGTTCAAGAGAGCAAAATGCGTTTAGGAACGTGGAATATAGGAACCTTGACGGGAAAATCTATGGAAGTAGTAGAAGTTATGGTGAGGAGAAGGATAAATATTATGTGCCTACAAGAAACTAAGTGGGTTGGTCGTAAGGCAAAGGATCTAGAAAACTCAGGGTTTAAACTATGGTATTCGGGCACAAATAGAACGAGAAACGGTGTTGGCATCATCGTGGACAAGACCTTGACACAAGATGTTGTAGATGTCAAGAGGGTAGGAGATAGAATCATGGCAATCAAGATTGTAATAGGACAAGAACTTATCAATGTGATTAGTGCGTACGCACCTCAAGTAGGGTTGGATACGAGTTCGAAGGAGAAATTTTGGGAAGACCTTGGAGACTTGGTGCAAGGAATTGCTCAGACAGAGAAGTTATTTATAGGAGGAGATTTAAATGGACACGTGGGCAGGGAGACAGGCAACTATGGAGGTTTTCATGGTGGCCATGGTTTTGGGGAGAGAAACGAGGATGGGGAAGCTATCTTGGATTTTGCAATGGCATATGATCTCTTCTTAGCCAACACCTTCTTTAAGAAGAGAGAAGAACATGTGATCACCTACAAGAGTGGGTCGTAAAAAACACAAATAGATTTTCTTCTAATGAGGAAAGGGGATCGTATAACTTGTAAGGATTGCAAAGTTATACCAGGAGAGAGCGTGGCTAATCAACATCGCTTGTTGGTGATGGATGTACATATCAAAAGAGTGAGAAAAAAGAACAAGACTTGGAAGTGCCCAAGGACTAGATGGTGGAATCTAAAAGAAGAAAAACAAGCCATTTTCAAAAAGAAAGTAATCACCCAGTGTGTGTGGGATAGAGAGGGGGAAGCTAACCAAATGTGGGATTCCATGGCTAGTTGTATCCGAAAAGTAGTAAAAGAGGTATTAGGAGAGTCCAAGGGCTTTGCCCCACACCAAAAGGAATCTTGGTAGTGGAATGAGGAGGTACAAGCAAAGGTGAAGGCTAAGAAGGAATGTTGTAAAGCCTTATACAAGGATAGGACCGATGAAAATGGTGAAAGGTATAGAAAAGCGAAGCAAGAGGCGAAGAAAGCTGTGAGAGAAGCTAAGTTAGCGGCTTATGACGATATGTATAAGCGACTAGATACCAAAGAAGGAGAGTTGGATATCTATAAACTAGCTAGAGCAAGGGACAAGAAGACAAGGGACCTAAACCAAGTGAGGTGCATCAAGGATGAGGATGGAAAGGTTCTTGCTACAGAGAACGCGGTTAAAGACAGATGGAAAGGTTATTTTCATAATCTTTTCAATGAAGAACATGAAAGGAGTGCTTCTTTAGGGGAGTTGAGTAACTCAGAAGACTGTAGAAACTACTCTTTTTATCGTAGAATCCGGAAGGAAGAAATGGGTGTAGCTTTGAAGAAGATGAAGCATAGAAAAGCAGTAGGCCGAGACGATATACCAATCGAAGTGTGGAAAGTTTTGGGAGAGACAGGTATAACATGGCTCACTAACCTTTTCAATAGGATTTTGAAAACGAAGAAGATGCCGAATGAGTGGCATAGATTGAGGCAAGAGACACGGGTTTCGGACAACCAATTCGGGTTCATGCCAGGGCGCTCAACCATGGAGGCAATCTATCTCTTACGAAGATTGATGGAAAGATATAGAGATGGGAAAAAGGATTTACACATGGTCTTTATAGATTTGGAAAAAGCGTATGATAGGGTCCCAAGAGACATTCTTTGGAGGATTTTAGAGAAGAAAAGAGTACGAGTAGCATATATCCAAGCTATACAGGATATGTATGAAGGAGCAAAGACTGCCGTAAGAACTCATGAAGGACAAACCGAAAGCTTTCCCATAACTGTAGGATTACATCAAGGCTCATCCTTAAGTCCTTACCTTTTTGCGTTGGTAATGGATGAGTTAACAGGACATATTCAAGGTGATATTCCTTGGTGTATGCTTTTCGCAGACGATATAGTGTTGATAAATGAAACTCAGGAAGGGGTAAATGCAAAGCTTAACCTTTGGAGAGAAGTGTTGGAATCTAAAGGTCTTCGCCTAAGCCGATCAAAGACAGAATATATGGAGTGCAAGTTCAGTGCAAATGGAGGCCAAAACGAGTTAGGGGTGAGGATCGGAGATCAAGAAATACCAAAGAGCGACCGTTTTCGTTACTTAGGATCTATCTTGCAAAAGAACGGAGAATTAGATGGAGATCTCAACCATAGAATACAAGCTGGATGGATGAAGTGGAAGAGTGCATCCGGCGTGTTGTGTGACCGCCGTATGCCACTGAAGCTCAAGGGAAAATTTTATAGGACGGCAATAAGGCCGGCAATGCTGTATGGCACAGAATGTTGGGCGGTGAAGCATCAACACGTACACAAAATGGGTGTAGCGGAGATGAGGATGCTTCGTTGGATGTGTGGGCACACGAGAAAGGATAAGATTAGGAATGAGGATATCCGGGGTAAAGTAGGAGTAGCCGAAATTGAAGGAAAGATGAGAGAAAATCGGTTACGGTGGTTTGGACATGTGCAAAGAAGGCCTACTGATGCTCCGATTAGAAGATGCGACTATGGGACAAAGGTTCAGGGCCGAAGGGGCAGAGGAAGACCTAGGAAAACTTTGGAAGAGACCCTAAGAAAAGACTTAGAGTACTTGGATCTAACGGAGGACATGACACAGGACAGAACACAATGGCGTTCTAAGATTCATATAGCCGATCCCACTCAGTGACTTGGATTTTCCAAGTCTTCAACCAAGAAGTTTTCCTCACTCGGGAAATTAAGGGAACACTACCTCAACCTATATGCTCCACTCACAAAGCTTCAACATACAAGCTTCAACAAAAGAAAATTCAAAGAACTTAGCGAAGAAGGCTTTGGTGTATTTAACACAATACGTTGAAATGAAGGAAAGCTTATTTATTGATATCCCCGATAAGTTACAAATATGTACATATACTTGAGTCAAAATTAACAAACAAGAGGGAGCCTTCACAAAGGTTGCTTAGGAGAAGTCTCAGCAGTCGGTAGAGCCCCAGAAAGAGAAGGCACCGGAGGAGGATCATTCGGAGCCTCAGTACTGGACAGAACCCTAGAAAGATGAGGCATCAGAGGTTGATCATTTGGAGCTTCATTACGCGGTACAGCCCCAGAAGACGAAGGCAATAAATGCCTTTGGAACAAACCCACAAATCTCTTATGATCAAGTAAAACCTGACCATCAGATTCCTTCATCTGGTCAAGCTTCCTCTTCATGTTTGTAGCATAGTCATGTGCGAGCCGGTGCAACTGTTTATTCTCATGCTTGAGCCCTCTAATCTCCTGTTTGAGACTCATCACTTCAGCCGCCAATGATTCAACTTGGCGGGTTCGAGCAAATAGGCGTTGGGCCATATTAGACACAGAACCTGCACACTGAACACTGAGAGCCAGAGAATCCTTAAAAGCCAACTCATCAGACCGTTTGGAAAGTAGTCTATTATCTTTGGGAGTGAGAAGGTTCCTGGCCACTACCGCAGCGGTCATATCATTCTTCATCACGAAATCCCCAACGGTAAGAGGACCAGTAGGGGAGACGAAGGATGGGCGCCATATGTTGTCTGGAGAAGGCGGGGCTGCCTCTTCAACAAGGTTCAAGTCAAAACGACGGTCGGAGGGACCAGACATTTTCAAAGGTGTTGAAGAGAGAAGAGGTCGGACAAATCAAGATCTTAGAAGTGCAAGAATGGAGCTTCTACTGGTGGATATTCAAGTGTGCTTTGGAACTTAATGTCAGCCCCTATAAAAATCTGCACTCGACGAAGCTTCAAAAATCGAAGAGGCGCCTGCTCAGAAATCGAAGAGGCGTTTGCTTTCTCAAAAGCTGGGCTGCTCAGAGACCACGAGGGTCGATCTCAGAAATCGAAGAGGCGTTTGCTTTCTCAAAAGCTGGGCTGCTCAAAGACCACGAAGGCCGATCTCAGAAATCGAAGAGGCTTGCTTTCTCAAAAGCTGGGATGCTCAGATACCACGAGGGCCGATCTCAGAAATAGAAGAGGCACCTACTTTTCCAGCCTTGTCAACACCTGTCACACGCACACTCAGCTTTGCGGAAATTATGGGCATTCTGTCGAAGATTTCTGACGAAGTAGAAAGCACATGAATCGTACTGTTCAATCACCCACTTCCCACACGCAACAGTAGCTCATGAGTACCACAGATAACTTTGCCAAAGTTCTCTGACAAAGTTGAGACACGTGAAGCTTGCAGCTCCCACTACATCGCTCTGACCAAGAAGGGTAAAAGAATTGCAAAGAAACAACACTAACAAAGTTTAGAAACACATAAATTTTGAAGGTCTAGCTACCATATTATTACCCACAAGGGTAAAGGAACAGTACCACTGCTGGATAATTGGAAAGTCCCGGTGTGTCAACCTCTGTGCTTCATGGCAAGGTAGACTAGCAAACATGCCCAACCTGTTACTCACATTCGAGAAAACACTCCCAACAAGATTGCTTGCTCCAAAATCGAAGAGGCACCGCCCTCCGAATCTCGAGAGCCAGACTCCCAACATGATTACTTTCTCAAAAATCGAAGAGAGGGTAAAGGAACAGTACCACTGCTGGATAATTGGAAAGTCCCTGTGTGTCAACCTTTGTGCTTCGTGGCAAGGTAGACTAGCAAACAGGCCCAACCTTTACTCACATTCGAGAAAACACTCCCAACAAGATTGCTTGCTCCAAAATCGAAGAGGCACCGCCCTCCGAATCTCGAGAGCCAGACTCCCAACATGATTACTTTCTCAAAAATCGAAGAGAGGGTAAAGGAACAGTACCACTGCTGGATAATTGGAAAGTCCCTGTGTGTCAACCTCTGTGCTTCGTGGCAAGGTAGACTAGCAAACACGTCAAACCTTTACTCACATTCGAGAAAACACTCCCAACAAGATTGCTTGCTCCAAAATCGAAGAGGCACCGCCCTCCGAATCTCGAGAGCCAGACTCCCAACATGATTACTTTCTCAAAAATCGAAGAGACACCGCTCTCCGAATCTCGAGAGCCAGATCCCCAGCAGGATTGCTTTCTCAAAAATCGAAGAGGCATCGTTCTCCGAATCTCGAGAGCCAGATCCCCGATAGGATTGCTTGTTCGAAAATCGAAGAGGCACCACTTTCCCAACTTCAAGAGCTGGATCTCCTTGGATAAAGCTTGTCTGTAATCTTCACACGCAACATCAGCTTTCCAGATACCACAGACCACTTTTTCAAAGTGCTCTGATAGAGTTAAAACATGTGAAGCTGGCAGCTCCCACTACCGTGCTATAACCAAGCAGGGTAAATGAATAACATTATTACTTGATGTTAGGGAGACTCCTATATATGTCGACCTCCATCCCTAACGGACAGGCAGACCTGCAAAAATGCTCAACCCTTTCTCTTATCTGAGAGGGCACTCCTAACGAAGCCTTTCGAAATATTCAGCTTTCTTTCCCCTCGATAATACCTCTGTAAACAAGCTATACTAGAGCAAGAATATCTCATATCATCAGGGTTAAAAGCAAGAGTATCCCATATCATGCTTTTTCCCTGTCTTTTCCTTTGACCTTGTTCTTACCTGCAAGACAAGGAGAAAGAGAGCAATCAGTCAACACTTGGAACCAAGCTTCCAGCCAGGAACTGACTGCCTGGAACCCCTTACCTGATTACTTACCTGGCATTGCTCTCGAGTACTCATCTTCAACATCTTATGCTTCCAGGGAAGATACCGCATCTGCCTGAGGAACAAATAGGGCAAGTGAGAAGGATACAAGGAAGCATGTGGAGACAAGCGTAACAGCACACGTGCCGATACATCCACTACTCTGTCAAAAGCAAAAGTATCCCATATCAGCAGGGTCGAACGTACTCTAGATTTGATGGACTTGTTTTGACCCTCAAATTCTTCAGTCGGCCTTATACTCTGGAGGAAACCAGAAAACCCTCCAGCCCAGTTCAAGAATAAGCCTGTGGAAAGTTACTTCTTCAAAAGCAAAAGTATCCCATATCATATCTCCTCATTTTTCTTCTCTTTATCCTTCATGCTGCCTGCAAGATAGGGAGAATGTGAACAATCAGCCGGAGCTCTGATTGCTTACCTTGTCTGTCACCTCTTTCAGCAGATCCCCTAGCTCGGCGACTTGGGGGACTCCTACTACATGGTTTGTATCGCGCTTGACCAAGCATGAAACTACAAGTAAGCTTCAAGTGAAATTGATACATTACCTTGTGCATCTCCACCAGTTACAGATACCACCCCTGGATGGAGGAAGAGTACTTCCAGAGAAGATGCCACATCTACCTATGAGACAGATAAGGCAAGTCAAGACGATACCACACTCCGGTACTTAGAAGTTTCGTGGCTACGAGATCATTCTCCCACAATATTTCCTAATGTCATTTGTACTAAATCATTCACTTGTACTCACTAAAGGAGAGCTTGAACCTATGTACTTGTGTAAACCCTTCACAATTAATGAGAACTCCTCTATTCCGTGGACGTAGCCAATCTGGGTGAACCACGTACATCTTGTGTTTGCTTTTGTGTAAACCCTTCACAATTAATGAGAACTCCTCTATTCCGTGGACGTAGCCAATCTGGGTGAACCACGTACATCTTGTGTTTGCTTTCCTATCTCTATCCATTTATATACTTATCCACACTAATGACCGGAGCAATCTAGCGAAGATCACAAAAAGTGACCGTTTTCGCTACCTGTGATCTATCTTGCAAGAGAACGGAGAATTAGATGGAGATCTCAACCATAGAATACAAGCTGGATGGATGAAGTGTAAGAGTGCATCCGGCGTGTTGTGTGACCGTCGTAGGCCACTGAAGCTCAAGGGAAAATTTTATAGGACGGCAATAAGGCCAGCGATGTTGTATGGCACAGAATGTTGGGCAGTGAAGCATCAACGTACACAAAATGGGTGTAGCGGAGATGAGGATGCTTCGTGGGATGTATGGGCACACGAGAAAGGATAAGATTGGGAATGAGGTTATCCGAGGTAAAGTAGGAGTAGCCAAAATTGAAGGAAATATGAGAGAAAATCGGTTCCGGTGGTTTGGACATGTGCAAAGAAGGCTTACTGACGCTCCGGTTCGAAAATGTGACTACGGGACAGAGGTTCAGGGCCGAAGGGGTAGAGGAAGACCTAGGAAAACTTTGGAAGAGACCCTAAGAAAAGACTTGAGTACTTGGATCTAACGGAGGACATGACACAAAACCGAGCGCAATGGCGTTCTAGGATTCATATAGCCGACCCCACTTAGTGGGAAAAGGCTTTGTTGTTGTTGTTGTTGTTGTTGTACTGCTTTCCTCGATTGGCGGATCAAACCCTCTTTCGTTCTCCCTTGTTGGTCATATTCATTTCCTTCATATTTCATCAACTGCTTCAGTGATTCCCATGTAATTCATTTTGGTTTTTATATTGCATTATGTTGAATAAATAAGCAATACATAGGCAACTGGTTGTACTTAAGGACAAGAAAAGCATTTATCAGTTGAGAAGATGATGATGAATTGCTGGACAGCAATTCAATTGATGTTAATTTATGATTTGCTTGTAGCTTTTATATAGCAAGAGTTTGGCTATGACTGCAAACTATATTTATAATTGAATGGCCTTTGCTGAAACAGATAGCAGACTCACTGATGAAGTGAAGAATTGGAAACTGAGACGCATAGAACAAGTGAGACAATTTCAGGATCTCCTCATCCAGTTTCATCTCCTGTACTGCGTGGAAGGGCTCCGTTGGGTCACAGGGACTTGTTTAGTCCAACTGAATATGTCAGTGCAAGTAGTCCAGATGTTTCTGGCGGTAGGAGCTGAAAAGGAAGGTTCATGATGCAGTAGGAAGTCTGCAAGTGTTCCGTTGATATGCAGTGTTTTAAATATAGTTATGCCAGAACGGATTGCGCCTTATATGCAATGAAATGTGTTCTGAAAATTGTTGGTGGTGTAGGTGCAAACCTTTTTTTTTTTTTTTTTTTAAACAAATGTTGCACTTCTGAGTAAATAGGGGACAATCAGCCAGCAAATTCCACTTGTATTTTGTATGCAGATGTAATGAATTTTTTTGTGAAAATCAGCTATCGTTGCATAGATTTTGGGTTTCAGATTTTGAATAAAGTAGCATTGCAATGAGACTACGTTCTTATCTTCTTTTCCTTAAACCAGGAATAAGAAAAATTAGAGTTTTATTATTTATTTATTCCGGAATTACAATAATATTTTAATATACAAATCTTTTGTTTAATTAATATGCAAGTTGAATTAGTTTTTTAATTTGGTTTTGGTTTGGGTTGGTGCCCGCAAAGAAGAACAAGATAAGGACTTGGATGCACGTCCAAGCTTTTAATTGCTTAGCAATTGCTGCATGATATATTTTGCCATATTGGCAAGATATTGTGCGAATGACTATCTATTTTTTTAAATTGGTACAAGTTAAATTTAGAGTTATCTTGAAAATATTTTTAGCATCTTAAGCAGTCTTGAATATACCCATAACTTGGTTGTTTAATTCCTGTTTAAATTGTCTTTGGCTGAACACAGGCGCCACAACCGCCACTCAAATACGTTTTTCTATTTGTGTAAGCCTTTTCTGTCACTTCCCGGCCCCGGGCCCCCACCACATTTCGAGCTCGACTCCATTGTAGCACGATATTGTCCGCTTTGGACCCTGACCACGCCCTCACGGTTTTGTTTATGAGAACTCACACGAGAACTTCCCAATGGGTCACCCATTCTGAGATTGTTCTCGCGCGAACTTGCTTAACTTTGGAGTTCCAATGGAACCCGAAGCCAATGAGCTCTCAAAAGGCATCGTGCTAGGTAGAGATGAGAATATACATATAAGGCTTACAGAATTCATTCCCCTGGGCGATGTGGGATGTTACATTTTCACTTTTTCTAAAATCAAATTCTTTATATGTAATTTACATGTTAGGTGGGAGACTTGGTCTCTGAAAAATTTATGTTTTCCGGTTGTGTTTCTTGCTAGAATTTGAATGCCAATATGGTTATTTGTAGAGATTTTTTTGGTATTTATAGGATTCTTCCAAACGAGGGAGACCAGGTTATTCAGGCTATTGCATTTGGTTCCACACTCCTATACATGTGTTGCTCATCGTGGAAGGAAAGATGGACGGAAAAGCCGAGCTCTCTCTCAAGCATGCAAGAAGGTTCGTCTCTCTCCCACCCTTCTCTCACTCTCAAACCTCGACTTCTCTCTTTCATTTTCTTGCTGAAAACAATTGTTTCTTCAGTACTTTCACTCTTAAACTACAAACCATAATGCCTTCTCGCTGAAAATAGTGAATCTGGTGTCGATTTGAATAAAAACTTAGCCCATAAAAGGTATTGTTTTCTATGAGTTCTCCGCCAAAGTAATTTTGTGTTTTCAATATTATGTGTTTAGATGTGTAAATTTGGATTTAAAAATAGGTTTTGTGTTCAAATTTTGTTTGTGTAATTTTGGGGGGTTTTGTTTCTAACCTCGGATTCTATATCTTTGTGTTTAATTTGGTTTTGTTTTCAGACTCAGGAGACTCTTTTTTTTCTTTCAGATTTTGGGGCTTTTGCTCTCTGTACTCAAGGTAACATTGGCTTCGAGGTGACATCTATGAATCTGACAAATAGCTATTTAAATTTACTGAAAGAATATTATGTTTGGTTCGAGCAATGAGGAAATTAACAAGACTACTGTTTTCCTTTATTAGCTTTCTATTGAAAGGTTGGGTTCAATGAAGAAGTATGCACCTATTGTGTCCTTGCCTTCAAAGTCACTTTTCAGAAAGTGAGTATACTTTCTTCTTATTTTATATCTTATCTTTTATGTACATTTCCATTTCTTCTATTAATCAGTAACTATGTTTTATGCCTGACAACTTGTTGACCCTAAAAACTACAGAGCCTACGTGGCGCGCAGGCCGAGTAATTAATGAGCTAACTACGTCATTCGATGAATGCGGGGCGTGCCAACTCGTCGGCCGAGCTCGGCCGAGGAGTAAATTTGTTGATGTTGCGTTAGGTCGCGCTACTGACTTCTGCGTCTTGCCATTGCGGCCGAGAAAGGAACACGTCTCGGCCTCTTGGGCTCTCGAACCTGAAGACAAGGTTACTATTTTTACGAAGCTCAATATCAAATTCGGCTTTCAACGTGCCGAATGTAGTCACTTGTAACACCTCACTTCGCCGAGAAGGCTGATGAGATGACCTCGACCAACAAGGATTCAGAAATCCTTCTCGACCGAGACTTGGATAGATAATCAATCGTTCTCGCCGCAGTGCTGTTGATGCCAACGGAAGATACTGCGAGACCGACTGATTCTACGGTGACAAAGCTATCTATGCCGACTTAAGATATCACCGGTTGCTTCCACAGTGCTGTTGATGCCAACGGAAGATGTGTCAGCGAAAAAGGAAAAAGAAAAATCACAAGTTGTGAGAATTTGCGCAGGGCAATTTTGTATTGATTTGCAGGGGTCCTCTAAAATGTTGCACGGCATCTTGTATTTATAGGACTGAAATACTTGTTCTCCACGGTCAGATAATTAAGTAGAGTTCATCTGCAACTCAAACTAGTGCAGCTGCTCCGTGCCATAGGTTAAGACCTATCCCCCTTTTTAGGCTTGGTATCAGATCACCACCAATAAACAAGTTTATTTCCATAAAATAAACAAGTTTATATCCATGCAATCACTTCACTAATCCAATCCATCAAGTATATCTCCCCACACGAGGACCACATGCATGCATGATGATTCCTTCATCATCTTAAATTCTGAAAAACAATTGATGAAATTCATCATCATATCCCAAGAAAAATAAACCATGTGCTTCAACCTTGTCCATGAATTCAAGGTCCATTTGAACTGCACCACCCACTCCTATATCAGAAACAGAACACGTAGGAGACTGCATACACTTGGAGTCTGATATGATAAGCCAATTCAAATGTCTCCGTGCAATCCTTTGAAGACAGATCAGATATCTTTTCCGAAACAACCAACTGGATATATCAAAAATTAGGTCTTAACTATCCTAGTTAATATTAAGAGATAATATTATGATTAAAATAATATTACTCTTCAAAAAATCATTTCAACCACCTTATCATCCAACGGTTTAATATCTGCTTATTCAACGGCCTCGATTGCTCGGGCTGATGATGTAAAATCGGGTCCAAACACAACTTCAATCCTCTTGATTCCCACGTATGGCTTGAATTCTATGGATCCCCATCTGATTGCAATGTCGATCTCTTCGGAAATTTGTATCTGTCCACCTACTTTCTTTATGTATTTTTGACATTCAACTTCAAACGCTCTTCTATTATTTGTACTAATATGTAGGTTTATTGGGATATTTGTGCAGGTTATTCAGTCATAGTGTGTCATGGGATGCTTGGGTGCCTATATTATTAGTCCTGAGTGATTATGCCTAATTGGTGATCTTAGATACATACGAACAGTCATTTGTGATTGATTTTACCAAGTATAAACATTTGAATCGAACTATAAGGTAATCGTGTTGTAATTAGTGACTCGAATTGTTTTGCTTCTGTCGTCAAATTATGTATCAATAGCCAAATATAAACATTTGAAATAAAATTGCTTAAAAGAGCTGTTTTAATCCGAACTCAATTCTTTTCGAGGACATATTGTAGGTTGATTCACATTCTGGGATGTAAGGCCATCTCCAATTGAACGGTCCAGAGGGCCATAGGGTTGAAAATACCCCGAAAACCATCTCCAACCGAGGGTTAGGCCAGAGGGCTCTGGAATCTGGGAGGGCCCCACAGAATCGAAGAGGGCTGGAGGGCTGGCCATTTTTTTTTAATGTTTTGTTATTTCTGTCGGTTATAGCCAACAGAAATAATATATACTATATTATTAGTGTTGGTTATAACCGACACTAATAGCAATGTTAATATAATAGCAATTTGAACTGTGTCGGTTAAAACCATCACTAATTCTAATTTGAATTCCAATTGTGTCGGTTATAACTGACACTAATTTGAATTCTAATTTGAATTCCAACGGCTAGCCAGTCACTAGCTGTTGTATTCAATTTTTTTTTTTATGAATTTAAACCATTTATTTTCTATAACTTCCTATAACTTTTTTTCTATAATTTATATTTTACAAAATTTGGCCCTATAACTTATATTTTTCTATAACTTTTTTTGAATTTCAGTTGTAGTTTTTAAATAATAAATTAAGTTTGGCCCTCGGTTGGAGACGATTTTTTTGTAATAGGGCTAAAACGAGCCCTCTAGCCCTCGGTTGGAGACGGAGGCAAATATGCACAATGAATGATCGAGAGGTCTCAATTGAGTTTTATCGATATTAATAACAAAAAATCTTGATATTTTAGTATAACTAGCGACAATGAACGGTTTGATATTAAACTGTTCAAATTCGTGGATTTGGGTAAGAAACTAAGAAACCCTGATCTTTTCTTTTGGTTTTAAGAGCTGAAATGGACATGCATGTGCTTTTCTTTGTGAATTATAAGAAATTGAGAAATTTTTCGTTTATCATTCTGGAGTGGGAGGGGTATTGTCAGAAATAAGAGAATTAGTAATTTTAATCAGTTTGATAAATTAAGAATACAGAGGTAGCGATCTACACAAAAATATGTTAATAAATTGATTGATGGGTTTTCAATTCCGTGTTATTATTGGCTCTGATGCTTTTGTCCGACTCATGTGTATGATAGAATTGATATGTTCTGTGTATGTAAGCTTGCTTAAAATATAGTTGGGATACATCTTTCCTTTTTTATTTGGGAAAACATTTATGTCCTGCACTGTTAACTTTCTTTAATGTTTGCTCTGGATTTCACAGGTTCTTTTTAAAGTTTGGCACAAAATTGCTTTTCTTTTCTTGGGGTGCAAGGAAACGGAGGAAGAAAAAGAATCAAAGTCTGGATGTATCAAATACTTGGTACATATTCCATGCATTTTGCAGCTGGAATCTTTTGGTAGATACGTAACCTTTTAATCAAAGCCTATACATCCCAATAGGTTTTGTAAGTGGCATCAAATAATTAATTGCTTTTTTCTTGGTAAGTAGCAAAATGTTTACACTTTCAGCTTA